TTGGCCGAGCTGGCACCCTATTGCAAAAAAGGGACCCCAGGACAAGTGGGGACCCAGGGCTGAGCTGGCACCCCAGGACAAATGGGGACTCTGGGAGTGAGTGGGGACCCCAGGACAAACAAGACCCCAGGGCTGAGCGGGGACACGTAGGGTCCCCTGGGACAAGGGGGGTGCACAGGGGTGACCGGGGACTCACCCAGGGACAAACAGGGACCCTCGGGCATGTGGGACCGTGGGGCCTCGGTGCTGCCTGCCCCCCCCCCCAGCACCCAAAGCCGGGGCCGGAGCGGGGCTGGAGGGTTCCTCGGGGCCTGCCGGGCACCAGCCCGCTGTCACGGGGGCTGTCCCCATCCGGGCTGTCCCCTCGCCCCGTGGCACCCGCTGCAGCCCTGCAACCCCCCCTCCTCCGATACAGAGCGGAGCTCCTGGGGCTCTCCGGGTCCCTGCTGCGTCCTCCGGTGGGTCCCTTCCCTCCCCGGTGGCGGTTTGCCGGGCTGGCGCAGGCGGGTGCATGCTCATCCCTCTGGCAAAGTGGGCACACAGGCAGCGTTAGGGCCGACCGGGCACCAGGAATCCAAGAGAAAACTTAGGACAGGAGCGGCGTCAGGCTGGCGTTGCCAGTGGCCACGGGCCACCGTGCCACGCTGGAACCTCTGCCTGGCTCTCTGCAGGGCTGGCCGGCGTCCCCGTCCCTGCCGGCACCTCCACAAAGCTTTCCCTGGTGCAACGGGTTATATTGCCCTCGCCGGCGTGCCGAGGAACGGTGGCAGCCCGGCAAGGTCGGTGGCGGAGCGGAGGTGGTGGCGGCGGCAGCCGCGGCCTGCTCGCATGCCGCTCTGCAGCAGCTGCGCAAACAAGCGGCGCCGGCAGCACCGGAGAAACCTGTCCCTGGGGTGGTGGCGGTGGCAGGAGCACCGGCTGTGCCTGGCTCCCACCGCGCCTGCGCCCGCCGGGGAATCGCCTCTGTTTGCTCCCCGGCGTCGGCCGGCCGCCGGCATGGCAGAGCCACGGCTGCGTGTTTGGGCTGCGGTGACCCGGGGACAGGTCCCCACCGTGCACTGGTGGCAGCAGCCTGCGGTGCCGTAGCAGTGAGTCCTGGGGGGGACGGGGATGGGGACAGTCCCTGGGGTGTGGGGTGCTGCTCGTCGTCCCCCCCCCACAGAGGTGTGAGCCCGACCCCACGCCGGCACACGTGGCCAGCGGGACACGGAGCGCCCATCTCCGTGGGGTCTGCACATCCCTGGGCACGCTGGCGTAGGCACAGGTCTGCAGGGCAGCGCGTCCCAGCCCCCACACCGAGCCCCCGGTGCCCCCCAGCCTTGCCGCTTGTTCTTGGGGTGTTGCTGCATCCCAAAACGTCTCTGGTGGGATTGAGGTGCCGCTCTCTGTAGAGCTGCTTGGGTGCAAGCATGCAGCAGGGAGGACATGGGGGGGGGGGGGGGGTGGATCCCTGCCCGCCCCAGCAATCCCGGTGTGCCACGTCGGCGTGGCCGGGAAGCAGCCCCAGGTGTGTACCAGGATGTCCTGGCCCCGGTTGGCACGGCACGCTCCTGCCACGGGGCGGTCGGTACCCAAAGCCCTCCCTCGCCCCCACGGGGGTCCCCGAGCCCTGGCAGCACCCCAGGGGTGCCCCATCCTTGGCTCTCCGTGCCAGGGGAGCCCGGGCTTGGGGTGCTGCTCAGTTAAACCCCATTGAGGAGTCTTCATCCCCGAAAGGCCGAGGTCCCTGTTTGCTCTGGGGGCGGTCACCTTCCCTCCGGCCACCTTTGCTCCCCATGCCTGCTCCTCTCCCTGCTTCCCTCCCCAAAACCTTTTCCCCCCCGGCAGCCCCTCTACCACCCCCATGGGGCTCTCCTAGCCCCCTCTAGCATCCAGCCTTGCTCCCCCAAGACCCCAGCGCATCCCACAGCCACGTCAGGTCCTGGACCCCCCCAGCGCCCTCCTGGCCAGATCCTGCTTGGAAAGATCCTGCTGGGTGTTTATATGTTGATGCTGTGCGTGTGGTGAGCGGCACTGGGCTGCCCCGGCCAGGTGTCAGGGACCGTGGGGGCACCAACAGTCCCTGTGCCACCCCCGTGGTCCCCAGCAGCACCCAGACCCAGCACCTCCCACCCAGGATGGGATGCTCCCACTGGATTTCATGCCAGCCGGTGGGACGGGCAGCTGCCCCGGCACACGTGGCATGGCTGACGTGGCACGGCGGGGCCGAGCCGGGGCGTTCGCCCCCAACGTCGCAGCTCCCCGGGGACGGGGCTGGGGGCTGCCCGCTGTGCCTGCCACCGACAGCCTCCAAAGAGCTGTTTTCCTCGCCGTTTGCTCGCTGGCTTTCTCGCTCCTGCTGCTGCTGCTCTGTAATTAAATGAAACCCGAAGGTCTCGCTCTGCTTTGAAGCAGCAGCCTTCCCCCCCCCTCGCCTTCTCTCCTGCCATTAGGGATGCAGCTCTCGTCTAACCTGTTTTCTGGAGTCTGGAAACAAGTTTGTGCCACCAGGACCTGACAAAACCCAGGGCTGATTCATCGGCAGGACACGGGATTCTTCGGTGGCCTCGGGGCTGCCCGTTAACTGTTGTGGTGCCCGAGATGGCTGCGGGATGGGGGACCCCGGCTGGGAACCCCCTGCCCACCCCAGTGGAGCAGCGAGCTGGTGCTTGGGGACCCGAGTGCCCCAGGGGAGACTCTGCCCCTGGGAATGGACTGCTCTGAAAGGATGGCCAGGAGCCATCCCATGGGAAGCATCGGGAGGGGGCTGGAACTTCGCTGGGCTTTGCTGGAGCCGCCGGGCTCTGGGAAGCCACCTGGGATGCACATACTGACCGTTCCTGCCCGGACCCTGGCTCCTGCTCATTACTTTATTCATTGGGTCACCTTGAGACATGGCACCCGGTCGTTAATGATTGCGTCGAACATCCGGGCCACGGGGGAGATCTTCTCTTTAATTAATGACCCACGTGGCTGTGGCCGCTGGTGCTGCCTGCACCAGGTGCCGTGCACCCCCGAGGCCAGGGAAGCCCGCTCCGGACAGGAGGGGATGCTGCCGGTGAAGCCAGGGCTTCGTGGCAGTGTCAGCCCCCCGACAATGTGGGGCTGGAGGTTGAGCTGACCCCCAGGGCAGTTTTTCTCCCATGTCGGGGGTCCCCTCAGTCCCCAACCACCTGGGTACCCACAGGCAGCCCCTTGTCCTGCTGCCCAGAGCTGCCCCCGCGAGCCCCTTCCCTCCAAAATCTCTGGGGCAGGGAGTGTGTCGGGGCACGGTCGGCCCCTTGCACCCATTGCATTCAACCTCCCTCCTTTGGTCTTCCTTCCTTCCTCCTCCTCCTCCTTGCCCCGTAGACGTCAGAGTCAATATTGACTCAGGGCCGCTCTGGGCGCTTCCCGGGTGGCACCGTCCCCCCTCCCGACGAGACCCCCCCGGCACTGCCGGGGACGTGAGTCACCCACGGGCTGCAGGCAGCTGGTGGCACACAGGCAGCGCGGGCAGGTCCTGAGTCACCCGGCTGGTCCTGCCCGCGTGGGCACGGCTCGGCCGACCTGCCTCGCCGCTTTGGGAATATACGGGAGAAGCGGCGGCACCCACTCCCGCATCCAGCCTGGCCGGCGCAGGCACGGTGCCGGGGTTTCCTGGGTGCGGGTGGGGAGCAGGGGGTTCCCCAAGCATGTCACCCGGGGGTGTGCTCCCTGAAAACGCCTTGCAAGGCTTGCCCCGTCCGAGTTTTTGGCCGAAGGGAGGCTCACGTGGCAGGGTTGCAATGCAAGGTGCAGGGGGATGAGCAGCGGTGCCGTGGGGTTGGGGATGGGGGCAATGGGCTTGAAGATGGGCTCCGTGGGGTTGAGGATGGGCTCCGTGGGGTTGGGGACGGGCTCTGTGAGCTTGGGGATGAGCTCTGTGGGATTGAGGATGGGCTCCGTGGGGCTGGTGACAGGCTCTGTGAGCTTGGGGATGAGCTCCGTGGGGTTGGGGACAGGCTCCGTGGGGTTGGGGACAGGGTCTGCGTGTGGAGGCTTTGGCTCTGCGAGCAGCAGCCGTGTTGCACTCAAGGGTCCGGGTGCGGGGCCGTGCCCTGGTGCCGGGTGCTGCCATTCCTCTTGCCGGGGTCGGGGGTCTCCAGCACCGCATTGCTTGGGCGAGGACGGTGGCTGTGGCTCCTCTGCCCCTAATTCCCTAAATCTGCTCCTAAAGGAAGGGCCCAAGAGCCGCTCCCCCCAGGTGTTGGGTGGCCGGGGTCTGGGGGTCCAGGAGGGGCGGGAGCCGTCCTTGGGGATGGACCAGGAGCCGGCGGCATTCGGCGGGGGGCAGGATGCCGGTACCCACCTCAGAGGCACTTGGGGCCACGTGTGTTTGCTGGGGTGCCGGAGCAGCATCCCCAGGGATCACAGCAGGGTTGCCTGCGCTGCCCACCGCTGCCCACGCTGGCTGCCCTCTCTGCCAGCTCCTGCCCGCACTCTGCCCCGCGGCACGGCTCCAGCAGCCCTTGGCCTTGGCCAGATGGCATCCCTGCTGCCAGGGGAGGACGGCAGCTTCTCCTTTCTTCTTCTCCTTGTCTTCCCAAGGATTTGGCTGCCATGGTTACTGGAGCTGCTCTTGACCCTGGGGTGGGGGGGCTGCTCCCCACTCCAGCCAGCCCCCCCCCTCCGCACACTATGCCACGGCACCGGGCATGGCCCCGTGCACCAGACCCCCGTGGCACCACTGGTGCCCCATGCAGGGATGCTTGCTTTGGGGGAAGACCAGTGATGGGGGAAAAGAGAGGAGGTGGGAAGATGCCCCCCCTGCGAAGGTCCCCCTGGCATCCGGGGCTCAGCTCCGCGCTGCCTTGGGGTGTAGCTGGCTCTGGGGGCCAAACTGGGCCAGACTGGGCTGAGCTGCAGGTTGGGATCCAGCTCCTCTTCGGGGGTTTTGCGTTGGTTTTTGGGGAACCTGAGAGGAGACCCCCCCCACCCAGGGGTTCCCACGGCCACTCCCCCCCACCTCGGGGCAGTTTCTCAGCCGCCCACCCCTGCAGTGCAGGATGGAGTGCAAGGACGTGCCGGCGGAGACGCTCTACGACGTGCTGCATGACATCGAGTATCGGAAAAAGTGGGACACCAACGTCATCGAGACCTTTGACATTGGGAAGCTGACTGTCAACTCCGACGTGGGCTACTACGCCTGTGAGGAGGGGGCTGGGGGGTCCCTGGGAGGGGGGAGCTGAGCCCTGGGGCTGTCACGGCAGCGTTCCTGGGTTCAGCATCTGTGGGTTTGGTGGTGCCCGGGCATCGCTGGGAGGAGGCTGGGTACCAGTTTGGGAGGGATTTGGGGAGCAGGCTTGGACTCCCAGCGGGGATGCCTGTGCTGGGTGGGGTGGGGGGTGTCTCACCCTGGTCTCCCACCACTGCTGTCCCCAGGGAAGTGCCCCAAGCCCCTGAAGAACCGGGATGTCATCACGCTCCGCTCTTGGCTGCCCATGGGCACCGACTACATCATCATGAACTACTCCGTCAAGCACCCCGTGAGTCCCTGAGGGGGCTGGGGGGAGCAGCCGGGGGTGCTGCCCACACCAGGACAGGGCTGGGTTTGCCCCGTGGTCGGTGGGAGGTCAGGCTGGAGGCATTGGGGGGCTGTTGGGGGGGTCAGGGCAGCCCTGCCTGCGGTTAGTGCTTGCCTGTACCCCATCCTGCCCCTGCCATCGATGTGTCCCTGTCCCCCCCCCCATCCTCACTGTCCCCCCTGCAGAATTACCCCCCTCGGAAGGACATGGTGCGAGCGGTCTCCATCCAGACGGGCTACCTGATCGAAGGGACAGGAGCCAAGAGCTGCACCATCACCTACCTGGCACAGGTGGACCCCAAAGGTAAGGGGGGGGACCCCCCACGCCGATGCCTCGGGGCTCAGCCCACCCCAGTCCTGCCCTCGTGTCCCTTGGGGACAGTTGCCCTCCGGTTAGGGGTCTGTCCTAACAGATCAGCTGAGGTTAATAAATCGGGCTGGAAGTTTTTCCGGGGCTGGGAGGGGTGGGTGGGCTCGGGGTGGGCTCAGAGACAGGCAGCAGCAGGCAGGGAGGCAGCCGGGAGCATCTTGGGACGCGGCCAGAGCCAGACCAGGAGTGCTGCAGCAATGCCAGGAGGAAACATTTTGGGCCCGTTCTCTTGAAATATTTCTTTTTTGGGGTAGAAGAGGTGGCCAACATGCTGAAATGGCTTTTTTTGAACTCGGCAAGAAGCTGAGGCAGCAGTTTGGGTTGAATCCTCATTTCCTTGGACTGTCCCCCTGCTGCCGCTCGCCTTGTCCCCTCTCCAGACGGGTGTCCCCGAGCCCTCCTGTCCCTGAGGAGGGTGACCCGGGGGGGGGCTGGTGGTGCTGTGCCCGGGGGTCCCGGCTGTCCCACGTGCCTGATCCCAGCCCGGCTTCTCTTCTCTCGGCAGGTTCCCTGCCGAAGTGGGTGGTGAACAAATCCTCGCAGTTCCTGGCCCCCAAGGTGAGTCGGTCACACCGGGGGGTCCCACGGTGCGGTGGGGTGGAGGGCGAGGTGTCCCCCCCCCGACCCAGCTCAGCTCCAACCCAACCTTCATCCCAGGCGATGAAGAAGATGTACAAAGCTTGCCTGAAGTACCCGGAGTGGAAGCTGAAGCACAACCCGCACTTCAAGCCCTGGCTGTTCCCCGAGCAGAGCCGGCTGCCGGCGCTGCCGCTCTCCGAGCTCTCCCTCCAGCATGCCGACTCCCTGGAGAACATCGACGAGAGCTCCCTGGCCGAGACCAAAGATGACCGCGGCGAGGCCAGCGATGAGGACAGCGTTAACTGAGCCCCCCACCCCCAACTCCCCCCCGCCCCGGGGCTGTTTTGTCCCTGTCGTCCCCCCCAAAGCAGTTTGTGTCTCTTGCACGCACCTACACGTGCACCCATGCTTCTGGCTCGGGGAGGGGTGGGGGCTGCTGCCCCCCTGCCCGGGGACAGGGGGGCTGTGCTGGGCTCCCCCCCCCGGGTGATGGCTGCCATCCTCCCCCCCCATCCCAGGGTGGGAAGCCGGGGGGCATCTGGTCCCTTCGCAGCCACCGTGGGACACCGATGTCGTCCCCATCGGTGGCAAACCCAAAGTGCCCTTCAGTTCTTGCCCCCGGGGGGGGCAGAGGAAAGTGGGGGGCCTTGCCCCTGCCCCCCAGCCCTGGGGGCACCCCCTTGTCCCTTCCCCGTGCTCCCCCCCTGCTCCCCTGTCCCTCCTCCCCGTCTTCCTCTGTTATTGTTTAACAGAACTGCCTTCCTCCCATGGGACCCCCGCCCCGAGCGAACCCCCAGAAGTGGGGGAGGGCTTGGGGGTCTTCCCACACCTCTGGGTGTGCAAAGGGGTCTTTAGGGGCTCCTGGCATCTCCAGGCATGCAGGTGGGGGCTTGGGGGGCTCCTGGCTTGTCCAAGCATGCAGGGGAGGCTTGGGGGGGGTCCCAGCACCTC